CGACCGAGTCGAGAGCTACCTCGGGCAGGATAGCGTGGGCGATCAAGGATACGGTCGTCGAGAGGCTATCCTGGAAGGCGCCATGGACGCGGCGAGCCCCCCGATATCCTGCGGCTATCCTGGCTAGGTGGGAGCGCCTGGTCCTGGATACAACTGTGGCCGTCGGCTGGAGAGCTTGGGCCTGGGCTAAGCTCCTAAAGGTTTGGGGCAGCTTGCGATGGTCGGACCTCCAGGCTATGGTCCCAAACGAACTGGCTATGGTGGAAGGTCGGCTATCCACCATCCTGCGACGGACGAAAACCACCGGGGCTAACAGGCGCATACGGGAGCTACCTGTATGCATCTCGGAGAGAGCCTACTTCGAGGACCCTGGCTGGCTACAGGCGGGCTTCGACCTGCTAAAGAACCACGCGGGCTACCAGCGGGACTATCTCATGCCAAGGCTAGGCGAGAGAGGCGCCCTGGAGAAGAAGATGGCTACCTACGCAGATGCGATGGTGGCAACAGCGGGGCTGCTGGCTATGGTGGGGATCCCGACGGTTGCCCGAGGCTACTGGTCGGAGCACAGTGAGAGAGCAGTGCTACCCACCGGGCTGAGCCTAAAGCCGATCCCGCCGGCAGATAGAGATATGCTAGAGGGCTCGGATACCTACATCCGCTCCTATGGCGGAAGGGTCGCCCGACTCCAGGCTACCTATGCAGAGGCGGCTAGGGCTCGGGACCGAGAAGAGCAGCTAGACGAGAGGGAGATAGCCGGCGATCTTGGTGGCTGGCTTTTCCGGACTGGCAAGGCTAGCGAGCAGGAAGCGGAGAAGCTGTCGGGAGAGCTGCGACGAGAGTGGGCTAGCGAGCGCATCGTGGAGATGGTGGCTGGTCCGGGGATACCTGAAGAAGTCGTGGCGAGCGACCCTCCCGAAGATAGACCCGACTCCTCGGCTAGTGAGCCGGAGCTGGGACCGGAACCCAACCGGAACCGGCCGAGGCAGCTCCTTAAGAAGGCTAGGTGCACGAGCTATATCATAGTTGAGCTTCCAGGGAAGAAGTACAGGCTACACAATGGGGCCAGGCCGGGTGTTGGATGGGCCGCCGTAGGATATTTAAGAACTCCCAAGAGTTTTCGGCGAGGCCCGAACCCAACCAGTACACGCATGTCTGTAGGCTATGCTGGCCGAAAGGCCGAGGCGAAGAGTCCCCGTCTGGTGATAGCGACACCTCTCAGGCTAGCACCGGCGACCAGAAGCCGGAGCAGGGAGAGGAAGAAGATTTCGGAGAGGTCCCAGCAGCAGAGCTGCAGGGAGTACCTCCGGGGATAGTACCCCAGTTGCCGATAGCACCGTTGCCGGCTATTCCGTTCGGCTGGGGACCGCCTTTTGCCTGAAGGGATAGAAGCGCCGGGAAAGCAGCGGGGCTGTACAACGGGGGGATACGTCCGGGGGGGGCCTCTCGGGATATACTCTTTCCTTCCCATCTCTCCGGGGGCGGCGGGCCCAGGGGGAGAAAGAAGGGGAGAGAAGAGAGGAGAGAGAGAGGAGAGAATCACGTTGTTGCACTTGCTGTCTTGTCTGCTGGCTAGGACGTAGGCTGCGAGGTTCTTAGGCAGGCTAAGCTGCATGCGCACATGTCCGGCTGAGTGTGCACTTGTGGGCTAGGGCACGGCACAAATGCACTTGCTGCGGCTACTGTGGCTAGGGTGGAGTAACGGACCACCAGCTTTTCTGGAGAGCCCACGCTAGGTGGGCGAGCCTGCGTGCCCTCGGGCCGGCTAGCGGCACATGGCTACTGCCCCCAGCTGGGCAGACCAGACTGAGTCGGCTAGCGTCCAGGCGCAACGGATAGAAGTGCTACGCCTCTTAGAGGACTGGCTAGAGACTGACCCGGCTAGCTTGGCCGAGCAGATATACGATCGGCTAAGTCTGGATAAGCAGCACGAGCTTCTCCAGCTAGTGCGAAAGGCTAGAGACATGAGGCTAGCCGAGTGCCAGGAGGGAGCTAGCATACAGCCTGGCGGCCGGCTATCTGCCAGGCTACTCAAGTTCCAAGGAGCTAAGTCTTGGGACGATATCTCTGCGGAGCTCGAGGCTAGCCTGTCCACCACCGAGGCTAGATACCTTGAGCAGAGGATAGAGAAGAATCGGCAGCTGGCCCGGCTACGACCACACCGACCAGGGGAGACCCTGGAGGAGGATGGCGTCACGGATAACGAGCTGGAGGCTACACCGTGGCAGGGGGAGGCCCCGGAGGCTACCTGGTCTAGCGCCGGGCCGCCACCCGAACGGCTAGACATGCTACACGAGATGATGGCTAAGCTCAAGGAGCTAGAGGCGGAGGTCCGCGGCACGGCTACCCCTGTTGCTAGGCAAGAGGAGCCCCATCCTGGGGCAGAGGAGGCCAGCACAGGGGATAGCACAGCGGAGAGGCCCAAGAAGCCGGCTAGGGACCCGCCGACGGTCCAAGAGTCCAAGGCTAAGAACAAGCTGCGGCAGGGGAGTGCAGCGGATAA